ATGTGCGGACCCTAATCTGACATGCTCCCACCACGGCGGCATTCATTCCTGGGTAAATGCGCACAGGATGGGGTGCCAGCTACACAGCAGCTGCGCAGAACCTCCGGACCCAGAGCAGCGCACTCTCCACACTGGCCATGCCAAGGGTGGGCCCTGCTGAGGGGTTTCCTGGAAGCATCGCTGTGTCCACAGGAGTGAGTGGGCAGGTGGCCTCGAGTTGCAAAACTAACAAGGCAACCCCCATGATGCTCACCCAGCACAGCCCTAGCAACAGGGATCCTCCACATGTTTGGACTACAATTCCTGCAAGCCTCAGCCAGCATGGCCCTTCCCCAACCTGGGTGCCTCCAGAGGCGCGACTGCAACTCCCATGAATCTGGGCCGCCCAGGCCCCTCCACCACACGCGTCGGCCCGGCCCCCAAGAGTTGCAAAAGGAAAGCCGCCCGGCCCCGGGAAGAGGAAGGCAGCTAGGAGCTCGCTCGAGGCCCGCGACGGAGCCGAGCGGCCACTGCGACTCACCGGCTCCTCTCCGCAGAGGCCTCCGCCGCGCCTGTCCGGCCGCCTCCCGCGCGAAAGCTCCGCAAGCAGCCGTCGGTGCAGCGTGGAACGTCCCCGGCCAGGGTCGCTAGGCAACCGCGCAACGCGAGCCGTCTTAGCCCTCCCATTGGTGGGAATTCGCTCCCGTTGCCTAGCGACACCTCACGTCCGAAACGTTCGAGAGGCGGGAAGAGCTGGAGGCGGTGGCTGGGCGAGGGTGTTTATTTATTTTATTTATAAATTAAATATTTATATTGTGATTTATATCCTGCCTTTTTCCTACAAAGGGCTCAAGGCAGCTTGCATTATTTTCCTCCTCTATCTTATCCCCACAACAGCAACCCTGTGAGGTAGGTTGGGCTGAGCGTCTGTGATTGGCCCACAGTCACCCAGTTGGCTCCATGGCCGAGTGGGGACTAGAACCCAGATCGCCTGAGTCCCAGTTCCATGCGCTTAGCCACTACACCACACTGGGTGTTCGCGTGCATGTGCAAGGAGGGCATTTCTTCCGCGTTGCAGAGCCGCACCGAGAGCGGCTCCAATCCCCGGGTCGGGGGTGTGGCTGGAAGCGTCTTGTAGGACTTTACTCGACCTTCTTTAAACCACCCCTGCTTTGCAGCCCCCCTTTCCTTGTGGCCGTGAAGCTCTTTGTGGCAAGTATTTGTATGCACGTGGGGCACAGAGGTGGGCTGCAGCCTGCCCCTGGGCCCCGACCTTTTGGGTTCATCAGGCGGCCTTCTCCAGTTGCTTGGTGGTCCTCCAGCTTTTGTATCGTTTTTGCCCTCCCCATCCTAAGAATTGAAATGCCCCTCCTAAAACTTCATGACTAGAAAAAAGAGCTTGAAGCTACACTGTGCTGCCCCTGAAAAGGAAAGCACTCCCCAGGAAGAAAGTCTGAAGGCCCGATTTAAATGTGTCGTTGCTTCTCCTCACAGCAATCTTAGCCAATGGGGAACAGCCATCCAACTGGAAGAGCTGTCCTGCTGCTGCGCACAAGTGCTTGACATCCCCCGTGCTGGGAATGCCGGGCAAGGCATCCATCTCCGAGCAATGTTGCCCTGGCTAGCTGACCCGTATCATGAATGAGTACCTTAAGTGCACATCTTGCGCACCACCACAGCTAGTAATTCTGCCCCGTACTTCCACCACGGCCTGGTTTAGAAATGGCACATTGGGCCGTAGTGAACAGTTGTTTGTGCCCGACTGGACCTGCTGCAGAATGCTCAGCTGACCCTCAAGGAGGGCGGTGGGTCCGGTTTTGTCTTAGGTTTGCCAGATCCCATGCAGAGCTCGCCAGGCAGTCCATAGCAGAAGCTGCCAAGAAGGGGCCTCTGCAAAGGGTGGCGCATGTGAAACAGAAAATGATGCACTGAGATATTTTCCTTGCCTGCATTTGGAATGTGGGTGTGGGGGAGCAAACAAGAGAGCTTGCCCCATGTACCCATTTTCCCCTCCTGTGCCACTGAGTGAATCATATGTAGGCAGCAACAGTGCCTGCTGTGGTTGGAATGGGCTTAATTGTGGCTCTTTCTTGTGGCTTTTTAGAGGTTAAGAAAAAAATTGACAGGAAGGAGAGCTGACATGCCTGTTTGACTAAGAAAGGTGCCCTTCAGGGTTTGTCTGTTCCTAACTTTCACTTGCAGCTTAATTTGATCCAGAAATCTTTTCTTCAAAGCAAGGGCTTGGACATGGAACACAGCAAACAAGCATTTGAGAATATGCTGAGTGGGTTCCCCTGCTCTGAAGGTGGTGTAGCACTCACTGGAAAGAGGGGACCGGTAACCTGACACCTGGCTTCTTAGAAATCCCCCAGTAATGGGTCACCTCACAGGATCACTCTTCCATCTACCAACATCCCCTTCGCCGCTTGGAAGAGTGAGAGGTCTCAACACGCCGTTGCTTTAAAACTCCTGTATCCACATTTTTATTACTAGGTAGGCAATGAGGGATTAACTCACAAGAATATTTGTTCATAAGGTATTACATTCAGCAGCATTTACAGTCGAAGGATGTTGACAGATCCCAGTTGGACAAAGTAGGGAGATCACAAACAGTGCAAGGTGTTGACACACAGGAAACTCTGCATGAGGCTGTGGGTTGACCTGCCAGCTTTGCTGGGTGACTGCCCATCACGGCCACATGCTGAATCTGGCTGACACCCATTTGCAAAGCCTTTACAATGACAGGACAGGCTGTTGGTTGCCCTTCAGGAGAACCAAGCAGAAGCACACAAGCCTTCCCAACCTTCCCCTCGATACGGACAGTCGGTGGCCCAGTACAAGTGATCCGACACCTTTTATTCAACGTAGCACAGCTCTTCCCATGTTCTCCAAACCTTGCTTTATGAAGGCAGACACTGCAGGGGGAGGGGACTAAATTCTCGGTTCACGCCTGTCCGGGAATCCTTCCGCTCAGTGTCGAGGCAGAGTCCTTGGTTCTCCGGCTTAGCCCACCTCGCAGGATGTCCTTCCTGGGGGATGTGACCTGGACATCCCTTGCCCTCCTGCCCACCATCCCTGCCTGTCTGGGTTCCAGCACGTTAGGAGCAGAGCCATTCCTTCTATTCTTTTTAGGCTGCAACAGTCACCAGTCTGTGTGACTCCCAAATGTGAGAAGGGGATGGGGATGCCATACCCTTTGCTAGCATTCATGGGATCTAGGGAGCGCAGAAAATAAGGCATTCAGAAGAGCTGCGTCTCCCACTCCATTTAATGAAAACTAAATTAAGCCTTCCAAGAGAAAACAAAAGCTAAACCAGAAACCCCAGTAATTCTTAACATCACTAAAACTAAACTGAGAGTGCAAACACAAGCAGGGTCCAAGGTTGAAAGCAGCATTTCCTGATTCAGCATCCGAGCAGAGCTGCGTCTTGGGAAGGGGACGCACGTGCGCTGTGAGGATCGCACGCCAGGCCACACAGCGGCTGGCTCAGGTGTTCCTGTTCGGAAAAATGCTGCACTTTGCATCCTGCTGTGTGGGGCAGGGTGTGTGTCAGTCCGGCAGAAAGGCTCACCGCTGGAGACACCTGAAGGAACTCACAGCAAATCATCCCCACAGCTGAAAACAGTGCATTCTCTGGATGGAGAAAGGTTAAATCCTCGGTTTGCATTTAACAACCCGTACTGTCATTACATGCAAACCTGGAGCTATGAGTTAACCATGGACTGTAAATGCATGGATTACCCCCCAAAGAGAACTCACAGTTTGTTGCTGGAGTATCAACTATGGGCTATTTAAACCATGGGTGGTTATGCAAACCCAGAATTGTGGGTTGTTTTGCCAGGCTGCAGAGGTGCCAGACAAACAAGGTCAAAGTACCAGTTGTTCCATATGCCAGTGCTACAATGCTATAAAGGCATTTGGGACACAGGAGGTGAGCGAGCCAAGGGGGCAGAGACCAACACCAGCCCCACAGGAATTCACCAAACAACCAGACGTTCACTTATGCATCTGGCAGTCAAACTGTAAGCAAGCACTTGAGTAAGGCAACGACCCATCGGTTAGAATCAGGACAGCAGCGCTGGATGGGCCTATAAGGCCATTTAGTCCAACTCCCTGCTCAGCGCAGGACTCCGAGTTAAAGCAGGAGGCTGTCCAGCTGCCTCCTGAAGCCCCCAGGGTGGGAGAGCCCATCGCCCCCCCGGTTCTTTGGCTCCCTTGCTGCACTGCTCTAGCAGGAGGGCTTTCCCGATGCTCAGCCAGGACCTGCCTTCCTGTTAACTTGAGCCCATTAGTCCGAGTCCTGTGCTCTGGCCCTCCTATGCAAGGCAGCCTTTCAGGTATTAATTAAACCATGGGCTACCAGTACAAATGAACTGAGCCACAGCAATTTTTTCTCCAGCTCAAGAAAATTAACTAAAGGTGCATTCCTGCTGGTTGTGCCTTTGATGACTTCAATCCCGACTTCGGAGACTTACAAGCACCCTGTGCGAAACAGGAGTGGTATTCTCCCCACTCTCCTGCCTGCGCTTCGACTAGAGCAGCTTTTCTGCCCATCTAGCAAAAGTGTTCTGGAGAGGGAGGGAGGGAGGGAGGGAGGGAGGTCGAAGAGCCCCCAGGACAGCTTCTACCCTGGCGTTTCCCTGTCCACCAAGGGATGCTTTTCTCCCCCTCTGGTGCTGCAGTTCTTTCTGCACCCCTGCAATGGGGCGGAACAACCCTGGGAATGCCAAGCATCCATGGCCCCCGGACGCTCTCTGGGGCACAGGCAAGGGCCCTTCATGGAAGGACATTATGATGGCGCCCACATCGCTTGACGTGTGTACCCAGGTCGCGTCCTGCCACACCCGTTGGCCGCATGAACAGATTGCGCGGGCTTCTCAGTCTCTACAAATCCTCCCCAGCTTGAAAAACTACAGAGAACAGAACAGGAAAGGCAAGTCTCCAGACTCAGAGCTCAGTGGCGGTCTCCACACTAGCTGTGTCTTTTAACTGGGGGAAAAATCAGCTTTAACAAGTGCTGTTATAGGAAATAATTTATTGTCCAAATTAACTTCCTCCCATTTAACTGGACCAGCTGTTCACAGATAGACTTTCTAAATCACATCAAATGATCTGTATGATTCGTTTGTACCATCATTCTCCAGTTTTGCAGAATGCAATTGCCTTTTTAAAAAAAGAAAAAAACTTCCCATGAAGACATCAAATATATGTAATTTTAAAACAGCAGTAGTATCTGGTGGACTTTGGCAGACTGCTGCAGAACATTTCAATTATTTCAGAAAACCTCCATTCAGACAACAGAGTTACATAATTCTCAGATACAGGAGTGATGGAAACAACTCTAAAGCAGCACCCCAAAAGTGATAACTTGAGCAGGTTTTTCAAGTAAAACAAAACCCCAAGAGAAATACTGCTTTGAATGCTACTGTTTGGCTCAGTGGAGTCTTCAGGAACTCAAAACTTGTTTCCTTTAGAAAGGAATTAGTTTTCTTTAGGTAAGACACTCTGAAGCTCAATTCACTGGAAGCATCTCTCGTGAAACCCCGAGAGAGAAATGGGCTTGCTCGAGAGCAAGCAAGCACGCACAAACCTTTATGGATTCTGCCTGCTGAAATTTGTAGGTTTTGCTACTTTGGAGCAAATGTTAGCAAAATAAGACTGATATAAAAGAAATGTTTTAGGGCACAATCCAGCAGGAAATTATCCTAAACAAACCACAGGGAAAGAAGCAGAAGCATTGGAAGAGAGCAGCACTGTGCTGGATTGTGCCTCTAACCTCAGTGCTCTAGCTTTGTTGACAGTGAGGCGCCGTACCCTGAAAGAGGAACCACTGTTTATCCTACTTATTTGTACTATAAAAAAATTCAGACAGAGATATACTCGTCTTCATTATTTTTCCCCCTCTAGTTTAGTACCATACAAATTTAAACAAAATAATTTTATATATTTATATATATATATATATAATATAAATATAAATTATAAGCAAATAAATAAAGATTAAAAGGTACACTGAAATCAGCGGTCAGTACACTGATGTTCAGCACTATAGTTAGCTTGTAGTGTGTGCGCGTGTATATTCTGTACACATGTTGTGTGTGTCCGTGTGTGTACATAATGGTTGCTGGAGGTTTTGTGAGGGAAAGGGAAGCTGAGAATTCCTCCATGATCGTCGGGGGGGGGGGGGGCAAAGCTGTGAAGTTTATTATTGCTGATTTGTCCCCCATGGATGTGACTGGCCATGGGAACATGGGATGCTCCCGCCGTGACGGCAAGCCGGAGAACTGCTCGCCTCGGGCTGCGCTACGTTTTCCAAAGGCGAAAGGCCTTATGGGGCCTTGGAGGCTCCCGGAGAGACACATGTCCCGTGGACATGAGGGACCTGCCCCAAGCACCAGTCTTCCTGGGGACACCAAGCCTTCCGTCCCGGCAAGCCCACCGGTGTGGAAGAGGAACACGCAATGCCGTGCCAGGGCAGGCCTGCGGCTGGGCTGACAGCAGGAAGTGCTGGGCAGCTCCGGCCAGGGGAGGTGGGGGTGTCAGGGCAAGCAGGTGGCACTGCCCCTGTGGTGCAAATTTGGGGCTGTGGGGACCCCACGACTAAGCCTCCAGGCAAGGGAGGAAGGGAATGGGAGGCGCTGGGAGAGGGGGGTTAGCTCCGTCACATCTTGACTCTGCTCCTGAGAGATGCGGTGCAGGGACAGCCCTGCTCGCAACACCTGTGTGCCTGGAGGCTCCCGCCTGGCACCTGCAGGAGCTCTGGGCCCCTCGGGGCCCAGCAGGCCTCTCCCAGCACCCAAAGATGACCCCAGGCAGGGCAGGGGTGTGCTTTCCAGACAGAGGGCCCCCGTGAAACCCACACGGTGCTTCCGGGCTGCCTCGGCAGAGGCAGGTGCGCCCTGCTGGATCTCGCGTGGGCTGCACTGTGCTCCATGCTGCGGCTCGGCCGCACGGTGGTGCCCGTGTGCCTGGGCCGCGGCTGCTGGCGTGCATGTTGCCCGGCCAGAGCGAACCCCGGCGTTTTCCAGCAGTGGCAGTGGGAGACGCCCGCCGCGGCTGTATGGTGCGTGGCAGCGGTGGCAGCTGGTTCTCGCGGGGCAGCCTATGGGACCCTCCATGGAGTGCTGCCCATGGCGCCCAGTCCCCGTGGGGCGCTCTGGGTACTGAGGTATGCCCGGGTGCAGGCGCAACACGCCCCCACGTTGTTCTCCCAATATGCAAGAGGAAGAAGAGAGGAGTCCTCACCTGGAAAATCCTTCCACAGAAGGAGAGAAGGTGAGGGACCACACAGAACATTTCTCTACCAAGAGTTTGATACAGAACCAAAATTAAGAGGCCATGTCCTCTCCAAAATACAGAGCCAACTATTCAGAGAGTTGATCTGAAAGAAAAATTAATAAAAATATTGCCTGTAGACACAGATTGGGTCTAACTGCTGACAAAAAGCACTGGAAGGAAGCGAATCAAACTTACCCCGTCATTCCCCCACCTTTCCCTAAAGGTGCAACTGCCATCGGAATGAGGATGGTTCTGTTCACTTCCTGACACTCCCCCCCACCCCAGATATTAGAAGCCATACAGAAAGCAAGCCATGAAGCTGCCTGTGTCTTTAGAAAAAGAACCTGAATTTTCTATAGACTTCTTTAAAAAAGATGTTAAGTCCCACACACAAATGAGAAAGGAAAGAAAAAGAGTCAAATGTACATCATTTCCCCACAACAAGAGCATCTTTGGAAATCAGAGTCTTGGTTCCTAAAACCGAGACCTCAGAAGATAAGGGGGCTGCAATTCCTGATGCAGCGATAAATAGGCCAGGCTTAAAAAGGAAAAAAAAATCCACCATCTCTCAATCCTAATCAGTAGCTTAAAAAAAGTCACTTTTTAAAAAAATCAAATGCCATTTTACTAGTGCATAAAAATAGATTTGGAATCCCTGTTTGGTTCGCCTTGTTTTTTCTATTTCTTTGTTTTAAAAAAATCTGTGTTTATTTAAGTTGTGTGTTTCTCTGAAGTGTGTGTGAACAGCAGGGTGCCCCCGGAGTGCTTGCACCCGCGGCTCGTCCGTCCCGTGGCAGCTGGGTGGGGAGGCACCGCCGGGCACCGGCGAGCCCGGCCAGAAGCAGCTCAGAAGATATCGGGACACACGCTCCAGTCCTGCTGCTCCTTGGCCTCCCAGTAGCCGCCCTTGTAAACGCAGATCAGCTCCCCTGTCGCCGGGTCGACCTTCCGCTCAAACCACAGCGGGATGTAGCCTTCGTAGTCCTTGCCTGCAGAAGGGTGCGGGGAAGGGCAGGGGAGGCAACACAGGCGCCCTCGAGGCCTGAAGGCTGACTGAGGGGGCGGCACAAGGCTGCCAGGCCGGGCACCCCTGCTTCATGCGATGGCCGCGAGGAGCCCCAGGCCCGGCCCACCCCCCACGCGCCCCTTGCGGAAAAACATGCAGAGCCAGTCTTGGGCCCAAGCTACCATGGGAGTGGCAGAGAGAAGAGCGGGGCGGGAACAGATGTGGGCGGCCCCGATGGGGCGCCCTGCCCTGCCCTCCCCACGACAGCCAGGCTGCTCAGACCCCCGCTGCCTCGCGCTCCCCACGCCGGCCGCCCCATGCTCCAGCAGGTGGCCCCCTGGCCCCTCTCTGGCCCCGGGACTCCCTCCCTCCACCCACCTTCCTCCAGCGCCTCTGCAGCCTCGGCCTCCCGCTGCCGGCGCACCGCTCGCTGCTTCTCCTCCAGCCGCTGCTTCTCCATGTTGGCCTCGTCCCACCTGCCGCTTTCCATGAGCCGTTGGTCAGGCCGGAGGCGGCTGTCCGTGGGGGCCGTGCCCTCCTCTGGTTCGTTCAGGGTCAAGGCCAGGTCGGAGAAGTAGTACATGTTTTCAGCATTCTCCCTGGGGAAGGAAGACCCACCCCCAATTCAAGGGGGAGGGGGGAGAGAGAGCATGTAAAGGGGCTCCGTGTTCTGTGAGCATGCATGCATTTCAAATACTTGTATGGAAATCTTCCAGAGAGGTTCAGGCCTCGTCTTAGAACAGAAGGGCTGGCGGCCATTTGGATTCCCGGGCACCCCCGATTCCATCTTTAGAGGGTTCCAGTGCTGCTAGTTTTCGCTTTGGTTTTACACCGTGGCTTGAAATGTTCCGCACTGCACTTCATCGTGGGTCGTGTATTTCATGGGTGTCAGAGCAGCTCAGCGGTTGGGCCATATGAAGATGGCGCAGCACGAAAGCAGCTTTGCCCCGTGGGTCAACCCCACAGGACTGGGCTGTTTCCCGCAGCGCCCTTCCCACCGCATTAGCAGGACACGTGCTTTGTCCGGGGGGGGGGGGCAGTCCCACGCCTGGCATCGGGTGTGAAAAAGCACCTCCGGTGCCAGGAAAAGGCCTCCGGGTGACGCTGGAGCGCCACAGCCAGCCGGAGCAGCCGAAAAGTCCAACTCCGTGCAGGGCGGGTGAAAGCATCCACTGCACCGGTTGCTGCGGCCACGGAACATTCACCCCACGCTTCTGCAGCCACTGAAGCGCAGGCCCTTCAGCACCCAAGCCCCGCTGGGGAGACTCACGGAAGAGGGTACTTCTTCCACAGGACCTTGGGGGACAATGTCTGATAGACTGTTTTTGGCACCTTCCCTTCCGAGCTGGAGCTTCCCGGGGTGCTGTGCACGATCTTGGAACACTCCATCTTCTCGTCCCATGTGCCCGACATGACGTACTGTGCTTCGCCGGCGGCATCCGTGACCACGCCGGTCACCTGGGGAGAAAAGTCCCGGAACCGCAACATTGGCACACCGTACCCGCGGAGCTACGAGACCCATCTCCCCCCACAGTGGCATGAGGCTGCCACGGATCAGGCACCCAGAGATCCGCCAACGGCTTTGCCGCCCCATTTCCCACCCAACACCTCTGACACGAGGCATGCACAGTCATCCTCTCAGAAGGCAGAGGCGCAGCCATTCCATTCTGCCCACGCGTCGAGCCAAGCCAATCTGGCCTGCACCGCGACACAGCCAGCCCCCGGGTCTGTGCCACAGAGCTTGCCTCAAATCTGACTGTCCCCAGATATTGTCGTATTTTTTGCGTGAAGTCAGCATCAGACAGAGCAGTGAGACAGTACCAGGAGCAGCCCTAGGGAATTTATCGTGCCGGTCCTCTAGCAATTGTCTTGGCTGCCTGTCATTGCCCAGGCCCAGTCCAAGTGCGCATGCTAACAAATGAAGCCTTAAACAGCTTGGGACCGGGATACCTCTAAGTCCCCACCAGGCCACTCAGGTCATCAATGGAGGCCCTCCTCTGTGAACACCCCCAAAAATGAGGTGAGGGGGGAACTGGCAAGGAAAAGGGCCGTCTCGGTCATCACACCTCACCTGTGGAATTCCCTTCCGAGGGAGGTGCGACTGGCACCCGCTTGATCTCGCTTTCAGCCACGTTAAGACTTTTTTATTCAGTATCTGTTTTAAGATTGGATTATTGGTTTGCTGCTGGTTTATTGTTTTCTTGGTTGTCATTATTGGTTATATTGTGTTTATTTTCCTGTTGTTCCTTTTTATATGGTTTCATTTATATTGTATTTTAATTTTATTATTCTTTATGGTTTGCTTGCTATTGTTATTTGTTTTACGTGTGTGTGTGTGTGTGTGTGTGTGTGTGTGTGTGTGTGTGGGGAGAGAGAGAGAGAATGCTGTGAGGTGTCCAGAGAACCTCTGGATATGGGGCAGCAGACACATGCGATAGATAGGTAGGAAGGTACATAGGTAGGTAGGTAGGTAGATAGACTCAGACTACCCTCTATGAAGACCAGCTTTGCCCACGCAGTCAAACACTCAGAGCAGGTTCTTTTTAAAGCAGTTTTATTTAGTCATATTATGAGAAAATTCCCTGGAAGTCATTGAAATGGAACATTTTCTGGCTGACATCAATTTGTCAAGAACAGGTTAGCAGCTAAGTTTCTTTGTTCTGTACAGGTCCTCCTGGATTATTCTTTGACCTCCACCATCTTTTTTTATATTTTCAGATTATACTTCTAATCATATGCATGGCTTAATTGGTTTTTTTTTTATTCTTCCGTTTTATGGGCCCTGTGAGCACACAACATGATTAGCTGGTTCTTCCCAAAATGCTTATTTTAAGATAAAATCAAGTTAGAAATGCACAAGAAAATACGTTGCACATGCATGCTGAAATACCTCTTTTCATAAAGACGTTAAGAATAACCCATGAATGAAGAAACAGATGGAAGGAATGGATGCATGAGCGCAGAGAACGCCAGCCCCAGGAGGAGGCAGTGGGGCTGAGCACGTGTGCCATCACCGAAGCTGAAACTTGGGGTGAAAAGGAGCAGCTGCGACTCTGGCTCCGACTATTCGTGGAATTACGACAGCATGCCCAAAAACTTCGAGGAGGGGCAGAAAGGTTCCTGCCAAAAGCATCCGGGGCCCTGCTGTGCCACTCGAGTTAGGGCATTCCAGGCAGAGAGCTCCTGGTGCCAAGCACACCATGTAGCTACTGAGTTTTCTTAACTTTTTTTTGTTAATGAGGAAAGTGGAAGAAGCAGCGGGAAAATATGAGGGCAAGGTTACCTGGACACCCTGTAAACGAGTGTAAATTCAGCGGAGTGGTTTCAGCACAAAAGCCAGTGTGGTCTGGCAAGAGCCTAGGACTGGGAGAGCCAGGTTCGAGTCCCCGCTCAGCCATGGAGCCGACTGGGTGACCTTGGGTCACGTCCAGATGCTCAGCCCCACCTTCCTCACAGGGCTGTTGTTGTGAGGATAACAGTGGAGCTGTGTCAGCCACTTTGGGTTCCTCACAAAAGGGAAAAAAGCAGGATACAATGCAATGGAATAATAGCGATACAAGCCTTGGCTAATCTGAGACTAAACAGAGGATGGATGGACGGATGGCCTCCAACCAATCATTCAAGCAGCGGCTTCTAGGTTTGTTTCTAAATTTATTTATTAGACGTCTATCCCACTTTTTCCCAGCGAATTCAAAGCGTCTGGCATCCTTCTCCTCTTCCTGCTTTCAATCGTATCCCCACAACAACCACCCTGTGAGGAAGGTGGGGCTGAGAGTCCGTGACTGGCCCAAAGTCACGCAGTTGGCTCCATGGTTGAGCGGGGACTCGAACCCGGGTCCAATCTGTACTCTTAACCACTGTCCCACACTGCCTCTCATGGAAATCACATTACTCTGCTCTTGCTAAATTCTACTCATTTCCGAGCTATGCCAGAGGTTTTCCTTTTATTTATCTTATTAGGATATTTTTATCCCATCCATTCCAGTTCGTCTCTGGATAGCTTACAATATAGAACAACTAATAAATGCATCGATCAACAAGAAAAGAACACACAACTGAGGATATCAATAAAATCATAATTAAAATATTTAAACTTCAAAATACTGGGTAAATAAAAAGGTCTTGACCCGGCGCTGAAAAGCGTGTAATGTCGGAGCCAGGCAAACCTCTCTGGGGAAAATGGCTTAAAGCAGCCTTCCCCAGATGGAAGATGCATCAGTGAGGGGGGGGGGGGGGGGTTGTGCATGTCAGGTTGGGGAAAGCGGGTTTCAGGGAAGAAGAGATCCCCACGGCTGTGTGACAGAAAACAGATATCTGGAGACATCGTATTTCAGGGCTTTGGTGCTCTTTACCTATTTAAATTGTGCATTATACCACTTATCACCAAGTCTGCTGTCTCATCTGGAGTTGTGTTTTGTACACGGATGGGACTGTGGAAGCTGCCACTGTGCTGATAACAATCATTAGGGGGAAAAACACTTACCTTTCGGGGAATGTCTCTGGAAAAATAGCTGTACTGAGTAAATTTCAGCTGGCATTTGTCTTTTGATTTGTGGTTGATGATTTCTATGTCACCAGACTGGGTGGGGGAGAAAGAGAGAGAGAGAATCTGAAAAGAGGCAACATTTCCCTTTTCTTTGTGCCCACACTGCCGGTGGGTGGCGCAGGATGCCCTCGGACTCCCCAGGGAGGATGGGGCAGCCTCTGGACATCTTGAGATCCGCATGTGTGTGCAAGCTACACAGAGCGCTTTAAGTAATGCTCTTTCAAGGAACACAATTGTAAGTCAAAATGAGATTTAAAAGAACTTTTTAAAACATAAGGATGTCCATATAAAGTACTTCCAATTAAGAAAGCAGAGCATCTTGAACTTTTCTTCCGCAGCCCTTCTAACATGAACAACCACTCAAATATTTGTGTTAGAAGAGAACTATTAGCAATCACACAACAGAAAAAGAAAATTGCAGACAACCTTGGAAATACACGTTAAGCAAGATGCACACCTGTTGGACATCAAGTTTCCTTGCAGTTTCCTTCTTCTGTTATGCAACTGCTTCTAATCCCTTGCATGTTAATTATCTAGGCTGCCCCAGGAACTCCACTTCGACAAGGTGAGGTGGGATGAACCCAGCCCTCAGCAGAGAATGAGCAACTGCAGGGAAGGAGACCTTCCTTCTGCGGCCACCTGCCTCCAGATGGCAAAGCAAGAGGAGAAACTGCCGGGCCCGTTCCCAGGCGCAACCCAGGCTCAGCGGGACACTGCCTTCATTGGCCCCGTCAGATCTCCCTGCTCCCTCTGAGCCAGCTGCAATCCTCACAGCAGCTGCCGGGAAATTAATATGCCCAGCAGCCATATCTTGTCTCCAAGTTTACTGAAAAGTATTTTTGGAGTGCTTTGGTCTTGAATGGGCCACTAAGAGCTATTTGCTTTACAGAAAACCCGCTGGCAGTCTGAAAGCTGCTCGAACCAGACTGCTGATACAGATGAAGGACGCTGCCTGTGCCTTTGGCCACTCACTTTGGGGCCTGTCATGATGAGCGTCCGCGAGAGACCGGGGCCACCGGCCCTTGCCCCCCGTCCTCCCAAGCACCGGCAAGAGAAGACCAGCAGAAACAGTGCCCAGAGAAGATCACCCCAGTTCCAAGCGCATGGAATGCCTGTTTGCAGCACAGCCCTACAGAAAGGCCGTGTTAGGGGGCTACAGCCCCGTCTCCCAGGGAGGCCCCCGCTCCACCCGCTTGCCATTCATCAGCACTCGCTGGAATACAGGTGCCCTTCCCTGCCGCTTCGGAGACACCGGACCGGTCGGCTTTTCCCCCATCTGCGCTTCACCCGCTGCTGCCTCCCCTTGACCTTTCCCAGCTGAGGCCTTTCCCCCGAAATCCGATGCCCTTCTCCCCTTGTCCATACATCCTTTTCCACAAACAGGCGTGTTTTTAAGAGGAGGATCCTTGGAGGACACGGATGCAGAAACTCTGAAGCATATACAAAGGTGGGGTTATTTTTGTCCTGTGGGACCAAGCGCCGCAGCTTTTTGGCCCCCAGCGCTGCTCTGCCCAACATGCTGCCCTGGCCAGCCTGATTTCCAGCCTTTGCCTCAGTATTTCGGGGTGCAGCCTGATGCCTGTGGCAGCCTTTACTGCTGAGCATCCACAGGACTGCAGCCTCCGTCTGTACACCGGAGGTCAGCTCCCAGGTTTCAGTCCATCTATGTATGGTGCCCATTGCCTGAAGTGTACAGATTTTTTTTGACTGAGGGATACTTTGGAACAGCACTTTGGGGGCTGAAAGCTAGCCTTAAAATATAACAATTCAAATAGAGCATTTGTCTTGGAATTCTGGTTTTATTGGGCTATTGCGCACAAACAGGGCAACCGATCTGGGTTTCCCATCAAGTGCACGCTCTGAGGGGAGTCGCGGCCAAGCTCCGCTTGCCTCTCGGCCTCTCTCACATGATCTCACGTGCAAACAGGCGCTGCTCTTGCATTTGCACTTAGAAACACAGAAACAGCGCGAGTCCGAAGGGGTCTCCCGGGCCATCTAGTCTGACCCCCAGCTCCAGCCGGCCCCGCCCACGACAGGCCCACCACGTGCACGTCCAGCCTGCCCTTGTACTTGCGCACACATTTTAGACATACCCAGAAACGTTCAGTGCAGGAAGAGACCCACCAGGAGCCTTCCACAGGGGATCCAGGGCAAAGGGATAATTCGGCCCTCCCACCTCGCCTCGCCTCGCCTCGCCCCAGCCCATAGGAGCGCCACGCTTTGCTCCCATCTGCAAAACGTGTCCATCTGCTGCACCTATAAGTCTGGGCTGTCCTGTCGGACAGGGGCGGCTTTTGCTCTGCTGACCTGGTCGATCCACAGCTTGCCCACAATGATGTTGTGAACCGTCGAGGTCACCTTCCTCCAGATGTAGTGGTTGCCGCTGGAGTGGAACTCCAGGTGGATGGCACCTGCGGGGAAGGAGAGGAAGGAAGGAGGAAAGCTTTACTTCTACGACAAAAGCTGCAGGGCAGTGGCAGAGAGAGACTTCCGAGTCAGGTTCTCCTTGCCTACATTGTACATGGAATCAGTCCACTATTACGTCCCACACGGGACACTGGAGATCACGGCAGAATGCCCACAACGGAAATGGGACACTGTGCCCTCTGCCCACCACACACGGCCACTGGCCAGCTCTTGTCCACATGAATACAAAGACCGCCCTGCTGGGTCGGACCAACCCCATCCAGGGTCTGTTTTCCGGGCGCCAAGAGCAGAAATCAAGAGCAGCTAAATGCCAGAGATTCACAGAGATTCTCAACCTCTGCAGGACCGCTTGAGCCGGCCTGCAGCAGCTCCCAAGGACTCCAGTGCCAGTGAAACGGAGGAGGAGACGCCGCAAGGGCACTCCGATTCCCCCACAGTGTGCACGGCAGACAGACGCCAGCCCCCGATCCCTGCCAAGGAAGTGGAAAGCTGCTGGGCTGCTTACCCAGGGGCATGATGGAGAGGTATTTGCCCCGGAATTTGCTTGCAATGGTGATCTCCTGCCAGAGCGTCCAGCCTCGCTTGGAATACACATGGTGGGCTGCAGCCGGAGGATGATGACTCACCTGGGGAGCACAAGCAGAAGCAGCCTTGGCAGCGAGCCACGGCACGAGCCGGGGACTCCCCTGGAAGGCCCCAGGCTGTGGCTGCAAGCATGGTGAGTGCACAGCAGCCGCTGCCCGAGTGCTGGTGTGCCCCTCAAGTCTTGGTGCCAGAGAGATCCGGTTCTAATTTGCTGCAAGCCACAGTCTTTGCACACTATGATGTGCTGTGCCGGGGCAAAATGGCAAACTCTGTTTTGACACAAATTAGAAACAGGGCTTTCAATTCCTTCCTTCTGAGCTCAGTGGAAGTGGGGCAGGGCATGGGAAACAGGAAGGCATGAGAGCTCAAGCCTCCACCCTTATGCCCGAAGGAAACCACGTGAAGGAGGGGATATTTGAAACACAGAAACAGAAACAGAGCAAGTCAGAAGGGTCCTCCTGGGCCATCTAGTCTGACCCCTGGCTCCAGCCGGCTCCATTCATGACATGCCTACCGTGTGCATGTCCAGCCTATTCTTAAACACCCTCACCAGTGCGGCTTCAACCACCTCCCGAGGAAGCCCATTCCATACCAAATCTTGCAAAGTCCAGTGCATTTGAACTGCAGGGTGGCAAGACTCTGAAACCCCCTTCTCCAAATTCCACTGAGGAGACAGAAAAGAATGCTGGCACAGCAGTGCCAGGTTATTCACAGTATAAACATGGTCACCTGGCAGGTGTGCTGCTGAGAGCAGCGGAGGCACGGTTTGGGGGTGAGAGAAGGGAAGATGGCCTCCAGACCATGAGTGAACTGCTCTGCCCCACCTTTAATTCATTAAGACGCCTTCCATTTTATCCTCTTCTTCTGAGGAACCCTCTTAGCGGCACCAGAGGGCCGCAAGGAGGGCCGTCCGTGGCCAGGCAGGGACGCCAGCCCGAGTCCTGCACTCTGCCCGGCACCGCGCCAGCTCTCTCCCTTACCTGCTCACAGAGTGAGCGGAAGCCCATCTCGTCCAGGCGGTCCATCTCAAAGGTCTCGCCCAGGAGTGGGTTGAACGGCTTGGCTGTTCGGTGGACTGTCGTGGAGTAGGAAGACACGGAGAACGCGGCCACGAAGCACATCTGCTCCACGGAGCTTTCACACTTGACGGCTTTGTCCAGCAACTCGTGGTACTCCAGGTCTTCCGTTAGTCTCTGCAGCATGGACAGCGGCTCGTTGAAGTTCACCTGTGAAGTCAGGCAGAGCACGGCGTGGGTCCCACACGGGCCAACCTGGGGCTTGCGGAGCTTCGCACATCCCCAGGGGCTGCCCACAGCCCGCGGCTAGCCCCCTGCCCAGACACCACACACCTCCCCCATTCCGTGGGGACTAGCAGGACCACACGACACCGAGTCCCGTGTCCCTTGCACTTTGCACACAGCATCTGGGGTATGATTCCAATGGCGGTGCCAACCCCATGTTACGGCTGGGGGTTGCGCGTGACAGAGTGGCTCGGCTCTGGTGACACAGACCCAGAAATGAAAGCAGAGTTCCCAGGATGCTGCACCCACTCCAGGTACCACACACCGCATTCCCACGTGCACGCAGAGACTGGGTTACGGAGCAATGATTTTACAAGGTGTGAAGAAAGCCGGAGTGTGCCTATTGTGGCGCTGAAATGTGCACTTTGCGTGGCCTCCGTGAAAACCGATCTGAATAGGCTTTGTCTGCTTCTGCAGAAGGCCTGCGTGGGTGTCCCTGAGCAGCACTGTGAAGTGCAGGAGAGCGACATCCACTTTGCACATTCTTAGAAAAGGGAAATTCCACTCAGATGGGCTGGGGATTAAACTCAAGTACAGAATATCCTTTCAATAAACTACCTATGCTCATCTTTTCTCTTGTGTTTGCTTATTAGATTTATATCCCACTTTCTCTTGAATACTTTGAGTGTAAGTGGCTTACATCATTCTCCTGGGGCCGCTCTCCCTCTTATCCCCACAGCAGCAGCTCTGTGAGGGAGGCTGGGCTAAGAGGTGCTCCAGGCCCAAAGTCACCCAGCTGGCTCAGGGCTGAGCGGGGACTAGAATCCAGGGTGCCCGAGTCCCGGACCCGTGCTCTTCACCACAACCCCACGTCAGCTCCCAGGGTGTTCGCGTGTGTCCCACCCTCAACCTCGTATTGGTGGCAGTGGGGCAGGTCAGCAAGTGGCTCTGCTCCTTTTGCCCAGAAATATAAGCATTGCACTACAGCCAAAATGCCGCAGAGGTGGGACTACTCACTCAAGGAACAGTTTCCCCATGGGGGGGGGGGGGAGGAAGCCCCCCCCAATTATAAGTGTGTTCCCATTAAAACAAGAGTGGTGTGTGCTCTCATGCTTTCATATGACCCACACCATAATTTAATTTGCTGCAGCTGAAGCAGCACCTTTAGTTCAGTTGGCCTGCCTTCTATGCCACCTGCACCTGTTTGCCAAATTTGGCTGGCAGCGAACCAGCTATTTCCCCCCTGCTCCTAATGAGTTTCAGTAGCCATGTTGGCAGTGGGGTGGGGGAGGTACACCCTCACACAGACAGCTCCGTGCCCAGTAGGATGCAAAGGGGCTGCAGGGATTCCAGACAGATGCTGTAAACCCTCACGCTGACCCCACGCTCTCAGCTGCAAGCACTTTTAATAGTCCCCCCTGTGGCCTTGAGAACCAGCTGCACGCAAAGATTACTTCATCTGGAATTGTCCCCAGGCAGGACGCTGGCGCTGATATTTTCTGGGGGACCGAAAGGTCTTTTAAAAGGCTGTTCGGATCTTTTCGACTTCCTTTCCTCCACGTTGCAGCCTGGATTTTTACTGTTGTCCCAAGAAAGCAGAAGCTTGTGCTAAGGGCCACGGGGAAAGCCAATGGTTCTCCTGCAGAACTGCCAAGTACAACAACTGCAATGGCGACAGTGACCGAGCACAGAGAACGGGAAAAGGAAACAGTGATCTGGCTGGCTGAAAGCACATGCTGAAACCACCAGCCTGCTTACGAGGAGATTTCTTAGCTTGCAAGAAAAAGGAGGGGTGCAAAAGTTGAAGCATTTCCTTTGGATACAGAACTCAGATTTCTGCTCATCGATGAAAAAGGTTCTGGACAAGTCACTTTCATCCTGACCTTCTTTACAGGGTTGTTTTGCAGGTAGAGCTCAAAACCCCTTAGAGAAAAGGGGGGAAATTATGTGATACAAACAAAATCAAAGAGTTTCGCTCATGACAATTTCTTAGGGCTGAGTTATCTACTGCACTGCCTCACTTACCTGAAAAAAAAAAAATGCAACATTTTGGATCCTTAATTCCATCACCTCGCTCTAAACTGCATTCTCAATTCTGCATCCTAGGTATATGAATTTGGCTTAAACCAGACCTGAGCCCTACAGGGGTCGCCTCAGAGTCTATCTTGGATAAACACTGGTCTAGTCACTCCATCGCCTGCGTGTTTTAAAACTGTGAATGGTTCACAGAGACAGACACATCAAAAAGCAAACCTACTCCCTACAAAGAGCCAAAAAAATAAATTCAAACATCTACAGTACCAGCACTCAGATCAAAATTTAAATGGGGTCACTGAAGAAGACGGCCTAAGCGTAGAAAGAACTGGCTGAATTTTTTGTGCAGCCAACTTTGTTGTACCTTTCTTACCTGCACTGCAGTTTATATGGCTACATTCACAAACAAAACGAACTGCAAGAACCCCATTACTGGCGGGCAGCCAGGTCCTTTTGCACCAAGAAGAAATGGTCTCGGTTCTACGAGAGCCACCCAAACAGCTGGGCGGGGAGGCAGCGGGAGGGGACCGGAAGGGAATGAGGCCACCGCCGTCCAGCCACCTCCCCTCCTCACCCCACGATGCCTCCAGACTGCCAGTGAGGGGCAGGTTGGGGGAAACATCTCCTGCACGCTGACCAAGTTACTCTGCAAGCTGGAACAGGAGTGCAGAAATTCAAACACTGTCAAACACAAAACGCATCGAGGCATGACAGTCAAGGGCCGCCCGGTACCCCTCAACCTCAAGAAAGGAAGCACACGGAGGAACAGGGGTGGTGAAGGAGCAAGCTTGCTGAAAGGAGGCACGGAGGGCAAGAATCAGAGTGTGTGCCCTGCGGTAGCTCAGTGGATATGATCCGAGTGTCGGTGGGGGGCCCATCAAAGAGCAACTGCTCGCATTGCAAGTAAACATGAGTGCATGAGTGTATTTGTGTGTGTCCTTTGACACATGCACAAAAGGCTCCCAGCATATAAGAAAGACTGACTGCCATGCCAAGGTTTTCTTGCAGGCTAAAATATTTCCCAGTGTGGTTCCTGCGTGGATTTTAATCGCTTTGTCACAGCATGTGCTGGAACAACAGAGTTAAGGCACCGGATCACTCACTCCTGTGGGCATGCGGGGTTGTCAGCTACCGTTTTTCAGCAACACACACCTTGCCCTTGATTCCAGATTCCACACAGGACTGCTTGTGTGAAGACAAAAAGCGCTCTGGGTGCAAGAGTTGTGCGGGGTGGTTGGGGTGCCTGGGAGCAGGCGTGGAAGTGACACAGCTGTCTGCTCAACACCTGTCCTTATGTGAGCCGGCATAGCAGCCACTTGTGACCCAGAGAGAGCCAGCGTGGTGCAGTGGCTAAGAGCGCTGAGCTGGGACTCAGGTGATCCGGGTTCTAGTCCCCGCCTGGCCACGGAGCCACCTGGATGACTTTGGGCCAATCACAGACTGTCAGCCCAGCCCACCTCACAGGGTGCTTGTTGTGGAGATAAGACTGAGAACAGGAGAAGGAGAAGGATGTAAGCTGATTGGAGTTCTTTGTAAGAAAAAAAGGTGGGGTATAAATTTAATTCACTGGAGAAGACCCTGATGCTGGGAACGAGTGATGGCAAAAGGAGAAGAGACGGCAGAGGATGAGGTGGCTGGATGGAGTCCCTGAAGCAGTTGGTGTGAGCTTAAGTGGACTCCGGGGGACGGTGGAGGACAGGAGAGCCTGGAGGAATGTTGTCCATGGGGTCGCGATGGGTCGGGCATGGCTGTGAAAACCTACAGGCATTATAGCCCGGAAGCATGGGGGAAGAGCCGGCATTGCCTTCCCGCTGGTGATGTGATGCAAGCTGTAAAATGGTCAAGTTCTCATTTTCCTTTTGCTCTACATGGTAGCAAAACTTTGGGGAAATGAACAGCTATTTGCCATCTGTAAAATGGCTGCGTCGAGCAGGAAAAAAAAGAACTGAATCATAAAAAGCCATTCTAAGGTAATATCCAGTGCTATTTCCGTACTTCTAAATGTCTCATTCGCCTAATTCCATAACGAGATGCACCATTCTATTTTAACTGAGACATAGAAAGAAAGCCATTTTGGATTTTTAAATTTCCATTTTCTCAGCATGATGTTGTCAGAGAAAGCTCATTTAAATATCAAACTATGAGCCATTTAACACTCTATGACGAACACATCTAATTTCATGGTATCCAAAGGCGTATATTCTCCATCACCTGCATGGACCCTTAGGTCTTCTTCAGGGGCCAAAGGAAGTTAGAGAGGTGGCCCCAGAAGAGATGGTCTGCTCACTGGTGGCACCCCACTTCTGGAATAAACTCCCCAAAGAAGTTTGCCTGGCACCCACAGTGTTCTCTTTTTGGGACCAGAGAAAAACCTCTCTTTCCTCCCCGACATTTTAGAGACATAATTCTAGATTATTATGGCTATGCTATCCATTTCTGGGTGGGTGATTCTTTATTATACTCTATTATATTATTTTATACATTTGTATTGTATATTAATTGTATTTAAAATGTCATCACAGTTTTTTAGCTGGTGGTAATTTGCCGAGAAATGTTCTAACCCAATTAAATAAGCAGCTACAGTCATAACCTGTGTTGTTGCCCAAGCTACATTTCAGCTATATTTCAGCTGGCCATCCTTGTGATGTGTCGATGTAGGATTCTAATCGTCTTTGGGACAAAGAGTAGGCTATGAACCTGTCCTAACATTTCATGAAAGCTGGCAAAACAGTGTAGCTTCCAAGGGCAAGGTCATGTTGGTAAGGAATCGCCACTGGACTTCGCAGCTGGGACCCTTCGAGTCAAGCTGTAGCATCTCATTTAGACAGACAGGCAGACAGACTCAAACACAGCACGTCAGAAAATGGAAGCAAGAAACCAGCTCAGGAAAACAGCGCCCTCAAACAGCTTCCAACCCAGAGAAATTCCCCCTGACAATCCTGGGATGCTACAGAATTCACTCCAACAGGATGGGCTGGTGGCGGATTCAGAGGTGGATGAGACCAATTCACGGAGCTGATCAGTGGTCACAAGCCATGAGGGCCCAGTGCTCCCTCCAGGACCAGAGGCAGGATGCTGTTCTGCTCCTGACCTGCACCTGGATTTTCGCTGGCACATCTGGCCAGCTGTGAGGACAGAGAGGCCTTTGGTCTGCCCAGCATGGCTCTTCTCGCAGGTCTATGAGTATCAAACCTTTCTCCATACATTCCACCTCGGCAGCAAAGGTCCTCCGGGGATAATCTTTTGCAATGAGAACTACCCAGGGGACTTTTTCAGTGTGGTCTCTCAGCTGTGGAACGGTCTGTCAGGAGAGATACTTCTGATTCCCAAAATTCCCACCTTTAAGAGGGAGTTAAAAGGTACCTCCTCCGACAGGCCTTCCCAAATTAACTCTCATGTCAGTTTTATTTACTATGTTGTCTTCATCAATATTACTCACTGTTCGTTTTAATTCCTGTAAACTGCCTGGAGCCTATGCAAAATATGAAGATAAATTTATATATATAAAGTTGGACTTGGCCTAAGGCAGCCCCTCACTGATTCCACTGCATTTTTGTCATGACCCCCCATCAGGAAACCAGACGAGGAGGGGAGGAGTGTGGTGTCCTCCCGCCCCATCTCGTTCTTGCCACGACTTGCCCGAGGCCCCGCAGGAAGCTCTGTGGCCGCGTGGCAGAGCTGAGCCTCAGCCTCCCGCCGGCCCAGCTTCTTAACCCTACCTCTCAATCCTGCAGCTTCCTCTCAGTGAGCACCTGAGTCCCAAGGCCGAGTAGGACACCGTTCAAAGGACAGTGTCACCAACAAAAGCACCACACACAGCTACCCGCTGGCCGGGCCTCAGTGCCATGCCACGCCACGCCACGCCGTGGCACAGGTAATGCACCGGACCGGCGCCACAAGCCACGGCAAGGACTGGCGCACTGCAAGAAACACGTACGGGCATGGGGATTTTGGAGAGTTCCTTGCCAATGCAGTTCTTCATGATGCTCCAGAGGTTAAGGCTGTAGTTGGGTTTGTCTGGGATCCGGGTCCGTCTCCTCGTCTTGGGCACGACATCTCTGTTTGAAGTGTCAAGGCTACTTGGACTGGAGCTCTCGAACACCTGGAAAAGGGGTGTGGCCAAAGGAACTCAAAGCTGGTCAAACAGCAGCACTTCCTGGGGGGTTCCATGCATGGAAGCGTCTAGATGAAAAATGCCACCCCCCGGGGGGACTCTGAGGAAGGTCAAGGGAGAAACTGGCCCCCACCAGGTACCCTTCACTCTACGTAAGGTGGGCAAGGCCCACCTTAGGAATCAAGGGCTGAGACACCGTCCGAGTCACACACACCTAACGAGGGGGCATCCTGCTGCTTCTTCTAGCAACCCTCAGCATGAGCCTGCAATGGATCAGCATGAAGCCAGGGGGTGGGCCATGCCTGGCTCAGGAAGAAGCCAGTCATTCAAGATTAAAAACTTCCCAGAGAAAGACAGTATTCCCAGACAAATAAATTAAGGTCTTCAGGCTCAGCTTTGAATCTTCCCTCAGCTGGATATGATCCTTACTTCTCATACACATTGGCCTGGTTTGCACACAACTCACTGTGGGTTAGGCAGCCCATTGTTGGTTGAGGCCCCTCGGGAGCAAGCACACTGCCTCCCCCAGCCCAGCACGTCTGCCTTGCCTCTCCTTTCATGGGGAACACGGGAACCCGTGCCTTATGGTCAGACTAAAACTCTGGCTTGTTTCTCCCTTAAGAACCTGGAGTGCGAGATTCAGGGGCCACATCAAGCAAACAGTGCCCCGTTCCAGGGTCCCTGGAAAGGGCCATCAAAGGTGGAAGCAGTGGGTGTGCAGGAGGTGGGCGTTCGCTCGCTCGCTCGCTCTGGTTCAGCCTTGAACTGGTGTTACCTGTGAACCAGGTCATTATGGAACCCTCCACCCCAGGAAACGAGGGGTTGCTCCTCCACTCCTGCTATAGGCACGGCCTCTTTCGCTCCGCGGATAAGGCAGGTGCCAGCAGGGCTGCTGCACAGCGGGAGGAGCTGAGCCCGGGTTCCTCCTCTACTTGCACTGGCAATCCCTCCAAAAGAGCCCTCCCTCCCTCCCTCCCTGCCTTCGGGGTCCTGCCCAAAGCAGCTTACGCTGTCGTCCAAGTTCCAGTCGTCGGCACGGCCCTCACTGGCCCCGCTGATGTTGCTGTCGGTGCGCCTGCAGAGAACACACAGACGACAGTGACAGGTGAGGCGGAGCATGGCACCCAGCACCGCGCGCCGGCGTCACCGGGCTCCCGGAGGGGCGTCTGCAGAACGTGCCCCAGAGAGTCACAATCGAGGGTGGGATTCCAATATGCAAATGCATCGTGCAGCATTCTTACTAGCCCAGATTCCACCACCTTCTCTCAGTCCAGTTCTGCTGGAACCGGCAGCCGAACAGTGCTCCGGACCGCTCCTGTCACCCCTAGAGAGGAACCGTCTGGCCATGCCAAGGGACACGGGCGCTTTCCCTGAGAGGCGCCCGCAACCGGGCCACCAACTAGGGACGGCCTCCGGTGCTTCACTGGAGGGAGAGCCAGCCTGCCCTCGTCAGCCTGACACGCAGGCTCCTGCGAGGCGCTGCCAAGGCGCGTGTGAGTTGGAGACACCCACCGGTGATGCTTCGAAGGATCAGCAGCTACTGTGATGAACGCGTGTGCATCCTCCATGGCGTCAAAGTACTCTGTCTCCTCATCTTCATCGCTGGCTTCCCCTTTCACATTCTGCACGCTCCCTGGCGGAGAGAGGCACTGATGAGCCGGGGGCAGCCTGCACAAGAGGCGAGCCAAGAGGAGGACGGCCGGGCCGCCATTCTGCTCCTGTGGTGGCGCTTCCATCCAAAGACCTTCCCATCGAGACGGCCTCTGGCGTGTTACCTGGGCTGCGCCAAAGCAGGTATGTTGGGGGGATCTCTGTTCCTTGTTATGTTTTTAATCTTGTGATTATGATCACTTTAGCTGCATTAATTTTAATCTTGCTTTCCTATGGTTAGCCACTCTGAGCACCATGGAAAGGTGGGGTATAAATCAGATAAAATAGATACACGAATGACTTCTGCAGAGACAACTGTGCCTGTTGTGTGCTTTTTGCAATTACTTCAAATCCCAGGAATCTGAAGTAATTGCAAACTCACAGAGACCTGTTCTCCCCTGCAGAGGAAGGCAGGACGTGCTCCAAAGGAGCAAAGCACAGGGAGCCAAGGTTCCACTTGGATGCCAGGAAGCACTTCCTGACAGTCAGGACCCCGAGGGGGTGGAATGGGCTTCCCCAGGAGCTGGTTGGGGCCCCATCGGTGCGGGTGTTCAAGGATAGGCTGGACATGCACATGGTGGGCATGTCGTGAGTGGAGCCGGCTGGAGCCGGGGGTCAGACTAGATGGCCCGGGAGACCCCTTCTGACTCGCTCTGTTTCTATGCATGCTGTAGTGGCACCTTAACTGAGGCTGTGGGTATTTTGTGCCAAAAAAATCACATTGTAGACCGATATAACACCTGCGGGTGCACAGCATTGCCAGAAACATTCATGCCTTGGCTGCCTCTACAAGTCCCAAGGTTTCCCACTCCCAGTACAACGTTCTCTGGAGTTGCATTGTTTCAGTGGCATGCACAATATTGTACTTGTTGGACCCTGGAGAGAATTCAGTTCCATGAAACTGCTAACCGTAACTGTTGCTGTCGCTGCTGGTACAGCTTCCGCACACCTGTCTGAGGGCTCTGCCCGTCGGTCTGTTTTGGCCAGAGGCAGAGCAACAACAGCCTCTGTTCTTGACTCGGCCTCGAACGTTCCCTGCTCTCTGCTCGCTGTATTCTTGAATACAGGCTCTCTGCGCTGGACTACATGGCATTGCTGCCTTTGCCATGCTGCTGGGTGTCAGGAGCTAGGCGTCCCCTCCCAAGCAAGACAGTCCCTTCAGCAATTCTTGGAAGAGTCTTTATTCTACACAGGAGTCTGAGCATTCACAAGCCTTGGAGCATACACAAGGAGAAGTGCTGCCTCCTCTCTGCCCCCCTTTACCCAAGGCTTGCTTATGAACCCTCCGGGGCCGGATCCTGGAAGGAGGAGCGCTGTGAAAGCATGCACACCATCGTCTGTACTCTGAACCCCTCACTGGTCCAGCCCGTGGCTGTGACGATGGGCCCTCGTGCTTATGTCTTGAGGGGGATCATATTCTCCCTCTGAGAACTCTGTCCTTCATCCGCCTCGTTCCCACAGGCGGGAAGGAGACAGGGCCCCAAGGCTGTCCTTGGACTCCTTCGATCCAGAGCTGGCTCAGGCTGGCACGACGGGAGCGTCCGACCAGACGTGGGCCCATCAGTCGCAACAACAGCTCTGCTATCGGAGTGTGGACTCTGAGCCACGCTTGGTTCAGCCATCTCCCCATCCTCCTCAGAGTCCGAGGTATCATTTCCACCCAAGCCAGCCATCTCTCTCGCACCCCGGGGAATCTCAGCTGAGTGGCACGCACGACACCAGGGTCACAGATCCCGGGCACAGGTCATCAGCCTTGCTCCAAAGACCTCCTGCCCCAGTGCAGCCAGCAGGGCCTAGAGCGCAGCCCCAGCCGTTTTTTTTGGAGTCCTCAGGAGAATAAAAATAATACTTCTCTCCAACACTGCTGGGCCCCCACATTCCCCACCACTGTCAGAGGGAACAGGCTGCCAAGAAGAGAACTGCAGGTTCTTGCAGAGGACTGGGCAGCGCCAGCCCAGCCGGAGCCATCTCTGCAGGCTGCGGGTGACGGCAGCGATCTCTCTGCTGGCCACTGGCAGGGATGGACACAGGACCTCGGTGTGAAAGTGGAAATTACTGGCACAGGACAAACACGGGGAGCAGGTCTCCTCCTGCTCCTTCCAAGCAGACTAGAAGAAAAGGCTCAGTAACTAGCTTTTTGTTATGGCCCTGTGACACAAAATAAGAGTATTGCTGAAGTCAGCAATCGCAGACTCAGCCAACGTCAGAAGGCTGGCCATTGGGGAGACGCAGCTTCAGGAGAAGCTGCCACTCCCAAAAGGCTTGCCCCTCGTCCCTCCCAAGACGGAAAAACCAAGCTGCACCGTCAGGGTGGACAGCCCCATTTCAAGGCCAATGGTGTGGAGCATTTGCGGCTTCTCAGCTGTCCTGCCCTCTTAACCAGACGCTGCTTGCCTGGATTAATGGCGTCCGTTTCTCCCCACTCCGTACCTGCTGGCTCACCAAATTCCCCACAGAATTTGAAACTGCCTGTTCTCAGTGACTGCCTGACCGACGTGAATTCCTGCCCTGAGTCAACAATATTTAAAGTCTGTATCACATGAGAAGCGGGCCCAGTCCCTACTGCAGGGATAAAGAGTGAAGCTGCACTGGGGCAGGACACGCAGGCCAAGCTCACGTTTTGACACTGAACACAACCAGACAAATCTGAACCATGCACTGAGCAGTGGGCTCATCTCGAGGACTTGCAAGGCCCTGCCTGGCTCTGTTTCCATGACTTCGCACATGCAAATGTGTGCAGATGGACACATTTCCTTGCCAACACCCCCACCAAAACCATAACGCAAGGCATCATTGGCCCCAGATGGATGCGTCTTCATGTCCAGATTGAGCATGGACATGAGAGGCCCTTCTCCGGGAATCCTCCGTGAAAGAAATTAGGAGGGTGGGTACTCGGAGGAGGGCTTTCTCTGCGGTGGCGCCCAATCTATGGAACGCGCTCCCCAGAGAGGTCCGCCTGGCGCCGTCGTTATTTGCTTTTCGGCGCCAGGCAAAGACCTTTTTATTCAAGCAGCATTTTAACTGTTAATATTATTGGATTTTATCTGGCCAGGGCGGCTTATTTTATACTGTATTGTTGTATTTTTAATTTAATATTTATATTTTAATTTATATTATTATTTAACTTAGTGATGTAAGCCGCCCTGAGGCTTCGGCGAATGGGGCGGCATAAAAACGGTTTAATAAATAAATAAATAAATAAAAATTATTTGCCATCCGCTGTCATAGAAGGCCAGTTTAAAGGTTTACCCTGGCCTATGAGTCCGTCCATGCCATAGAAACACAACCGCGTATTCCTCCAGGTTGCATTTCTGTAGCAGCTTTTTCGGTCCCTATGCCTTCTTTATATCCAGGAAGCTCTGATGAAAGTTATATTTCTGTACTTATGGGGGACACCAGCCACACGACCACATGAGGCCACGTTCCTCGCTCGCAGCTGGTAAGGCTATGTCATTGGTATTACACAGGGCTGCGTCATTCCAAGATTGATTCTCCTGTATTTTGGTTTGCTGCTAATTATATTAAATGCAATCATGTTGATGTGTTAATAGAAGGGATATCATTTAAATTTATGTACTATTGTATTTCAATGTATTTTATCATGTTGTAAGCCGCCCCGAGGTTTCGGCAAGGGGCGGCATAGAAATGTTATAATAATAATAATAATAATAATAATAATAATAATAATAATAATAATAATAATAAAAAAAATCTGGCTTACTGTTCGGGTGGTTGAATGGTCGTTTTTCTGGTATGTGGACTGGAAATAAAGAACGGCTGCTGCTCAAGACTGCAGGGAAGGGCCTGGTCTGACACGGCAGCTCGGGGAGGGCCTGCACACGCTCTCCCGCAGGCAGGAGCCGCCGGCCCCCCGCGGCCCGTCTAGGCTGGCTGCCAGCCATGAGCAGGAGCTCCGCTTCGGGCCAGGCACTCACCTGCCTCACAGCACTGACACGAGGGCGACACGGAGAGAAGAAGGGCCCCGTCGCCCCTCCGGGCGCTCCGGAGAGAAACGCAAAGAACAAGCCTGCGACATAAGCGGCGGCACCCACCTTTGGATGCATGGGTGCTGGTGCCGGTGGAGAGGGCGGGGGCTCCGCGGCAGGCCCGCTCGAGGTGGTTGTGCTGCTTGGCTAGCTGCTCGATGGTCTCCTCCAGGCGGATCCGCTGCTCGCGCTCATACTGGAGAGCTCGCTGCCATTTGCGGCTGTGGGTTTCCGCTAACTCCAGGAAGTCCCGGCAAGCCTGCAGGAAAGCGGAGGACCGAGTGAGTGGAGGAAACGGCACTTTGGGGAGGTGGTCAGAAGGGCCACCGCACGCACGGTCTCATTGGGCCGCCCTGCCCTCGGGCTCTGTGGGCCTGCCTGCCTGCTCGGGCAGGCAGGCCCACAGAGGCGCTCACACTCCGCACACACCGCATTTTATACACAACTCGTCCTACTAGGACAAAGCCCCTAATCTAAAACATCCCCAAAGTTCAACCTCCTGCCTTTTACAGATCTTTTTTCTTATTAACCAAAGCATGCCCAAGGCAAAAGTACCCTAAAATTAGCACAGGACTAGTTTCATGGGATACTTTTATACCCCAAACAGTAGTCCCTGAGCAAGGAACAAAAGCAAGTTAATTGCAGATCATCTGGGGCTCTTTTTAAAGCTAAGATTCTTAGCTAAATTCTTGATTTAAATGCCTTAAAATTTATTGAGGGAAAGCTTTACTATGATTTTTTCAAAGTTAGTAGGGCAAAGGATTGTTATGCAGGGAGAAGGTCAATGGGCCAAGCTTTCCTAGGCGGGTTTTCTAATTATGCAGAACCTCAGGAAGGATTAAAGTGGAAATTACCTGATGAGAGCTGAAAGCCATTCTTATATTGATTGAAATCTCCTGGGGGCGGGGCGGGGGGGGGGGGGGGGGGGATTTCAACCAGGACAAGGGCTTTCAATATGCAGCATTTTTCTTGCCCAAAGCTTTTGTTTGGGGTCAAAAAGGGACCCAAATGCACTTAATGCTACCTTCCTGTTGACACCGAATAAGCAAAAGAACAACACACAAAGTAACACATTCTGGCCAAACCAGCTTCAGAACCTGCCCAAGACAGGGCCAGACACCTGTGCCATCTCACTCGGTGCTGCCAGAACCGACTGGCAGGGGGTCTCCAGGGTCCTTCTGAGCCCTGGCTGAACCTAGGACATCACGCATACAAACACTTGCGGTTCTGCTCTCGGTCCAGGTGATGTCCAAGAATTTCCTTCTCTTCATTATTTCCCCTTCCTTTGGTCAAACGCTCCTCCCATCTTTGAAGCTTCCTGCTTCCTAAGCCACTGCTTCTTCTAGCCACACCTTTCCCAGATCTTCCAGTTCCCTCAGAGTCTGATTAGCTCAGGCAACGGCAGTCCAACACCCTTCTGCCTGCCTTGGCATGGGGCAAGTTCAACCCATCCCTGCCAGAGCCTTTGCAGTCACTACCAAAGTCCTGTACAGATGGAGTCTCTTTCTCTCAGAGCACCACATTCCCAGACAGAAAGCTCAGGCTCGGAAAGCCAAATAGATGGAGGGGGAGAAGCGTTGGAATACGGCATAGAAATGTCAAGATTAATGAGCAAGATTTGTCAGACAGCTGCAGAGATCCAAACTGCCTTGGGTTTGCAGGAGAGGCACCGCAGAACTGAAAGGGTCTGAGAAGGCGGGGTGCAAATTCAGTAAGCCAGTGAGGCCCAATTACGTACTGTCAGGCATCTGGCCCCCAAGCAGCAAGCCCTTAGGGAAAGGAGCGGAGGAAGGGGTCCTCGGACTCAGTCACCTGGGCAAGAACTGCCCCACGGTGGGAGGGAACATTCCTTTGACAGTGCTTTAAAACCATCTGTTTATGAGATGTCCTGCCTCCAGCCCACACAAAGGCCTGCATCTTAAAAGCCTTCTGCTTAGGGAAAGGAGGAGGGGCTTGCTCTCGGCAGTGCCCAGCGGATTCCAATACAGGCGGCCTCACCCAGTCGAGGGCCTGATCCTGCCCGTCCCACGTGCACCACACAGAGCGATCCTGGAGAGCCTCCAAAAGGCTGACGCTCTGGAGCGTCTGCTGAGGAAGAACAACTCGTCTCCGGGAGCCAAAAATGTCTCAGACACAGGGAGCAACGTGGCCAACGCTGCTGTGGAATCTGCTCTGTTCTGGCTTCACAGAGGTGTGAACACGCTCAGGTTCCGTAAGTACCCGGAAAAGCACGCAGAACAAGGCACAGCACTCAGCCAGCCTCCCGAGGAGCTCAGCTTCCTTTCTTACGAAAACAAGTTTCTGGCCCTGGCAGAATCAGAGACTGGAAGTGCCTTGCAAGGACAAAGAGGAACACAACCTGCCGCACGGCCTCTGCTCAAAACCTCAAACGAAGGAGAACCGGCCCCCTTCCAAAGCCCCCTGACCCAGGCGTTCCTCCCAGTGGCCAGTCCGCTGTCTTGTCAATGGGCCGTGTGGCTCGGGGCCGGTCCTGCAGCGCAGCGGAGAGCAGGCAGCGCCACTGTGGGCTGGGCAGCTCTTCCAGCTGCTGAAGAAGCTGCCCTATGGCCCTTCACTCACATCCGCCTGGACCCAGTAAGTGCTGTGGCTTCAAGGAGGCCATGCCTAAGAAGGATGCCTGTGAAGACGGGCCACGCTCCACAATGCAATCTCAGAAGCTAGAAAGAAGTGGCTAAATAGGCTTTTCGGAAGTCCTGGGCTTTTAAGAGGAGCTGGAAAACTAGGATTATGGGAAATACGGAATACTGAAGAACAATGCAACGTAAGTTATACAAATCTGCTCTGTTTTCCCACTGTAAAGTGGTGGCAGAAGTTGTGTCTCCATGGCACAGATTTTGGGCTGCTGGGACCTGGCTCCAGGCCTTCGGCACGACATATGTGCAGCGCTGGGCCACACCAGCATATTGAATTGAGGATGCTCCAGAAGACAGTGGAGTGAAGGGGCAATGCGCCCCCTGCCCACAGACGAGCTTTCCGGCAAAGCACAACACTTGCTGTTCGGTGCCCTGCTCCTCTTTGCCAACTCCAATGTGCAGCCAAGCTCCTCTCAACAGTCACTCCTGCAAGCTGAGCAGGCCTCCACAAAGTTTGCACAATAAAAAGTGCTAAGAATTCTGCACAGGGTGGATGGTTTGGGTCGCTGAGGCACGGAGTGAGCTCATCTCTGGGTACGAGCTCAGCCCACCCGCCACCCTCCACACACGCCAGTTCTATAGTCCCCCCCATACCCCCCTGCCACCTCCGAGCCAGGCAGAGCGGCTCCTTGCCTTTTCCTGTTCTTAGTCCAGTCAGCAAAGCAGTCTCTTGGGTGGCAATTAGAGGCACCTGCCAGAAAGCCGCATCTGACAGCTTGAAAGCCGTCTTTTTGCAGGTACAGCAAGGACAGGGTGGGCTCCTGGGAGAAGCGCTTCATCACAGCACTTGCAGGAAGAGCGTTCTAACAAGACACACACATTTCCAATTGCAAACCTTCAGCCCCAGCATGCACAACTGGAACGGAATTGTAAGATGAGCTTCCAAACAATAACTGCTCTATTTAAATTCCTAGCACACACCCTTCTTAGGGGCTCTCCGTTACTCCTCAAAGCAGAGGTATGCAAAATAAATGGAAGGAAGCTCTCCTGAAACAGAGATACACAAAATGAAGCCATTAGCACCCAACAGTATGTATTTAGCTACAGCCAGATGAGTATCAGTAAAATAATGTTACATTGCCCCTGAAAGACATCTAGTCTGGGATGGGAGAAATCTACCAGAAAGGGAACAAAAGGCAGGGCTTTTCCACACTTCCTCCACTCCGATTACTACTTAACATTTATTAAAGATGCACTGCGATGGTTAGCAACTCATCTTGCCAGAGCAGGGCATAACAGCAAGCACCCCGTGTCCCGCCTCACCAGATTGTCCTTGCAAAGCACAAGCTCCCAGGAGACGGCACTGAGCAGACAGATCAGGGCAACCTTCAGGTCTGGGTAACTTTGCTTTTTTAAATTATTATTATTCATTACATTTCTGTACCCCCATCAGCTGAAGCTCTCTGGGTGCTTCACCACATCCAGATTTCAACCAGGCCTGACCCTGCTTAGCTTCCGAGATTCGGCAGGATCAGGCTATACAGATGCTTTTCACTAGAATTCCAAGATCCCAACCAGAGGCCAGTCCAAAAGACACCCAGCAAGACGTAAACATTTCTGAGTCCAGGAACTTGCTGCTCAGAGCTGAGCAGAGCTCATAGCCCTTCCAAGTGAAATTCATTCCTGGTTTTCCTCCATAGCAACTCTGTTAATTTCAGCAGGGTTGGGGGGGGGGAGTTATTTTGTAATTGCTTCTATTAAACAACTGGGAGTCAGGAATCTGTGCAAATCACCCAGAGATCAATCAGCAAATCCTGAACCAGCTCCTGCTCAGAGCAGATTTGGCCTGCTGGCTGCAAGTTAATGAACCTAAATTTATTGTGTTCTCCATGTTGTCAAACTCCTTCCTGAGTTAAGACCAACACGGCAGCAGCAAGATGGGCTCAATGGGCTTCAAATGAACGGACGGACACACCAAGAACGGACACGACACACCAAGGCCAAAGCTGGGTTCCTCATTGGGGGAAATGCATCCGTGGCAGGTGACGGAGAAGCACAAAGACCACAAAGGGAAAGGAAAATTATTCAGTGGTTTTGGAAAATGGAAGTCCCAGCTTGTTGTCAGCAAATCAAACCCAGCCCTTTAAACAAGATTTGTAAACAGATGGCCGGGGTATAATTTCTAGGTTTCCCTCTTCACCTGCCTCCACCATGAATGTTGGAAGCATTCACAGTTTTTAAGGTCCAGTCCCCTGGCCTCACAGTTTAACTATGACCTAAATTGGGGTGGGCAACTTGTAGCCCTCCTCTCTTGGCCTAGAACTCCCATTAGCCTGACCCCATATCCCGAAAAGAGACAAGTCTGAACGAGTGCTACAGTAATTCAGTCTGGACAAAGTTTTGTCAGAACAGCGGGAAGAGAAGACTAAATTTTAGCCACTGTTTGACAATTGACAACAAGACCTTGTTAATGATAAAAATCTGAGCTGAAACAGAAAGAAAAGCACCACGGAGCTAGAGAATCAAAATGCCACCACTGCCAGACATCAGCAAACAAAGAAACGGAAGAAACAGGCAAACTAAGCTGTTTTCGGAAGAATGAGCTGTAAAAAGATGAGCAGACCAGCATGAAGAAATAGCAAAGCTGCAAGAGGAACAAGTACAA